GTGATAATGATACAAAAACAAGTCCACGGAACCAAGTCCAGAATTATCATAGCTTGTACAAAACATGAGATAAATCTTGTTCATCAAACTTGATCTTACAAAACTTACTTACTTAACATGCGTCAAATCTTATAACATAACCTCGGCATAACCTTGGTCCTTCAAAACTTACTTACTTACAAGACCCACGCGGTAAACCGCCAGTGGCAAAACATGACCAAGCAAGAGCCCGTAGCCCTTTAACACTTGGGTGCTGCTCAAGTTTAGAGTCCTCTAGCAAAAGGGACCTATGTTACAAGAGCCCGTAGCCCTTTAACACTTGGTGCTGCGAAAATTTAGAGTCCTCCAGCACGAGGGACTTTCAAATCAAGAGGTGCTGTGAAAGTTTAGAGTCCTCCAGCACAAGGGACTTCCAAATCAAGATGTGCTGCGAAAGTTTAGAGTCCTCCAGCACAAGGGACTTTCTGAGAAGGTCATCAAGGCAAGTACAATACAAGATACAAAACTAGGGACTATCATTCATGCTTACAAATAATTTCAAAACAAAGCAAGCAAGGTCTTTATCAAAACATATAACATAGCTTTATTAAAAATACCACTCACCTAGTTCTGCAAACGTCGGGGTCAAGGCAAGTCCAAGTCCTACAAACACATGGCAAAGTCTATTGAATGCACTACTCGAAACAGGTCTAGCACACATGCAAATGACCTCGGTATTCTTCAAAAACTAAGTCAAATTAAATCAAAACACAGTTTCTTATCTTTGGAAGGACAAACTGGGAAACTATCAGGTCTAGGCCGAGGTCCCACACCTCCTTGCCGAGGTGTGGCCCCGACGGCCACATTCAAAAGCGAAGTCGGAAAAATCTGGGTTTCCCTCTCGATAAACATGAAGAGCACGAGCATGAAGAACTTGAAGAACATGAATATGAGAAAGACGAATGCAAAGATCAAAACTTGTATTACAACAGCTGCGACTTCATGCTATGAATTCAAAAACTTGGACCTGGGTACCCATACTCAAGGATCTTATTAGAACAAACACAAAAACATGAGCTTTAAAGCAAACTTTTGGATCAAACGAGGCTTTTCTCTCAAAAACACATGAAAACCGTTTTCTCTTTCTAAAACCGATTTTAAATCAACGCATGACGTGCCGAACAGGTTCGATCGTGCAATGCAGCTAGATGATCAATAAAAACAACCAGAGCAGGTTAAGATTCTGACCTTAAAACTCAAATCTAACGGTTCAAGCTCCAACGATCAAGCTTGGAAGCCCCCCTCTCTAGCTCAAACTTCTCCTCCTTCTAACTAGAGCTTCTCTCTCTAAAAGGGCAAGATTGATACAAATGATATGCCTCACACGACAAACACTGACTTAATCCTTCTGTCGGGACACGTGGCATTGGCCAATTCGCTCAACTCAAAAAGGTGACTGACTTGACAAGACAAGACCAAGACAAAGTGTACTCAACAAGTTAGGCGGCACGAATACTCTGGCGAGTAACCACATCGGCTAACAACAAGACTCCGGAAATCAAAGGGCAAGGACATCGGCTTGGAAGGACAACACTTGACTAAACTGTGCCACACCTTGGCCTAGATGTGCCACACCTCGGCCTAGGTCACGCCATTCCAGGAACAAAATCACTCACGCGAGGATCAAGGATTTAGAATGCCTAGATATTAACATCTCGGCCCAGATGATGCACATCTCGGCCTAGGCGACGTGCACCTCGGCCTGGATGGTGACATCTCGGCCAATATGCCAGGGTGAAGATGGAGGTCAACCAAACGGGTTCCAAGACAGTTCTAAGTGATAAAAGTTTCAAAGGTGTCTAGGCTTAAGATGACCTCGGCAACACACCAGACAAGAACAAAGCGTGCAAGCAATCATTCAAGCAAAACAAGACAAGATTTGCAAATGCACATATTAACACAAGATCATCCACAAATGTATGTAAGTATGACTAAGTCAAAATGAGGGTTGTTACAAAATTAGTCGAAGTCAAATGCCAAAGAGACTATCTGATGGAGAACGAAAAGGAATTGGATGAAGATTAGGGAATAATTTTATTGTTATTTTCTTATTTATAATTTAATAGGTTTTATTGTCTCATTAGCCTTGAATTATAGTAGTTTTATTTTGGAAGCTTTTAATTATGATTTTCGTGGATGCCTTATAAATAGGCCATTATGTATTTAAGTTACTCAGACTTGAATATTGAATTGAGAATTTTGATATTCAGATTTAGGGTTTATTTTCTTTTCTTTGAATAGTACCAGGATTTTGTTTTTGCAGGAGTGGCCAAGTTTGATCCAGCAACAGGAAAACAATTCAAAGCCAGTGCTAAAACGCAGTCATACACGACGTACTTTGCAGAGGCTTTGATTGCAGAAGCTGAGGCAGACAAAGATATCGTTGCAATCCATGCTGCAATGGGTGGTGGAACAGGCTTGAACATATTCCACCGCCGCTTCCCAACACGATGCTTTGATGTCGGAATAGCAGAACAGCATGCTGTAACTTTTGCTGCAGGATTGGCCTGTGAAGGCATTAAACCCTTTTGTGCAATCTACTCATCTTTCATGCAAAGGGCTTATGATCAGGCAAGCCAACTAAACCTTGTGTCCCAATCAAGTTGGGTCGACTATATGAATCTTTTTTCGTCATTCTACCGTGACTATATGAATTTTTTTTCGCTATTCTACAATGTCATGGGATATATGCTCAGTTAAATTAAGTAAATTCATATTTTTTTTACTACCACAACCTGTGGTCTTTCTCTCCCTCTCACATTTCCATTTATGAGTCTTAATATTTCAACACTTTGTCTCGGTTTATTCCACAGGTAGTGCATGATGTCGATTTACAAAAGTTGCCTGTGAGATTTGCAATGGACAGGGGTGGGCTGGTTGGAGCAGATGGTCCAACACATTGTGGTGCTTTTGATGTCACTTTTATGGCATGCCTACCAAACATGGTAGTGATGGCTCCTTCTGATGAGGCTGAACTGCTCCACATGGTTGCAACTGCTGCTGCCATAGATGACCGGCCAAGTTGTTTCCGCTACCCCAGGGGAAACGGCGTGGGCGTAGAGTTGCCACCAGGGAACAAAGGCATTCCACTCGAGGTATGGCTCAACCAAGTTTCCACTTATGTTGGATCATAGATTTTGGGTAGGATTTGGAAAGGGAAAGGAAAAAGTGGGAGAAATGTAAATAAAATATAAGCTAAATTTTTCCCCGTAGTTGAGGAAAACTAGTTGTTGTGAGGTGTCTTGTATTTACTGTACACTCAAAATTACTACTGTAGGGGCCTTTTACAGAGGCGGAGGGCCAAGGTTCTGCCTCTTCGCTGTGGAAGTAGGCACACCCTGCCAAACAGCGTATATCTTGTATTCTTGTTTTTATGTGTGTGCTTTTACTGCTTTATTGCATGATTGGAACCATGATTCTGCACTTCACTACTACAGATTTGAAAAAAAAAAAAAAAAGTTTTATAGATGGTTGGACCGTTTTGCGACAGGTTGGGAAAGGCCGGATATTGATTGAAGGGGAGAGAGTCGCACTACTGGGATATGGAACAGCAGTTCAAAGCTGTTTGGCTGCAGGAGCTTTGATAGAACATCATGGTTTGCGGTTAACAGTTGCAGATGCACGCTTTTGCAAACCATTGGATCATGCTCTTATTCGCAGCCTAGCAAAGTCACATGAGGTTATAATCACAGTGGAAGAAGGATCGGTTGGGGGGTTCGGGTCACATGTTGCTCACTTCATGTCCCTAGATGGGCTTCTTGATGGCACAGTCAAGGTATGAATCTGAACTATCATATTAACTTCTGAGCTAGTTAGTCTATTGTTCGAAAAAAACACAAATACCACAGCAATTTACATTTTGGAATGCGTTTCATTCTAAAACGATAAATTTAGTGATCCAAGATGATCACAAATTTATTTCCTATAAGGTTTTCTTAGGAGAGATTTGGAAAGACAATACTAAAAATGGACCTAATGCTCCTACAAATACGGTTTTACATGATCATTTCATTAATTATACTATATTTTATTAGATGTCTTCTTAAAAGAAAATTATTCTAGAAATTCCTTAAATTCTAGTACTCACATTTTAGAACAAGTGATGTGCCCCATTCCAATTCCCATTCCCATTCCCATTTCCATTCCGGTTCCAATTTCCGTTCCCGTTCCTTGTATTAGAACGATCCGTGTTTCAGGTAATATAGAGTTAATCTTGTATAATTGGTTAAGTTTGTAGGTGAATACTAAAACATTCGAGATTTCTTCAATTTCCATAAAAAAATGTAAGGTTTTCTGACTTTATCAAAGGTTAGTAATGTTTAAATTTAGGAAGTGATGCAAAACTTTAAAAAGTGGCTTGAAATTGGGAGGAAGTTCGAAACAGAAATCATTTTTGTAGTTCTGTCTCTATTGCGGGTTATGGAAAGGGTCATTTGTACGTAGTTTTACTTCTGCATGTTAAGAGGTTGTTTCAGTGATTCACACGATCTACCAAAAACATGATATTCTTGAAAACTCCTCTATAGAATACTTACTTACCCTTTGTCCTTTAATTTTCTGTGCAGTGGCGACCACTCGTTCTTCCTGATTGCTACATCGACCATGGATCGCCAGTTGACCAACTGGTTCAAGCTGGTCTCACACCATCTCATATTGCCGCAACAGTGTTCAACATACTTGGACAAACAAGAAAGGCTCTAGAGATCATGACATAGAAGAGATATCGGGTTTTTAGTCCTCGTCTCATCAATGTACCTATACGATCAAAAAGTGAGAAATTTGATTTTTCATCTTTCAATACTGTAAAAATTAGTCTTAGCATAGACAGAGTATCAAACCTCTTGTAAGATTTTCATGGTCAATTCATTGTAGCCAACCTATTGCCAGTTGAATTCTGTTTTTTGTAGTTCCATGAAAACCAATGCAACTTTATGAAACACGAGGGCGGGTTTTTGGAGCATCTGTAATGTTGCTTCATTAAAACTCAGGGTTTGAAATTACAGGAACTATCTTTCCACGCGAGGGGTAAGGTTCTGTACAAAACAAAATCCATCTAATATTTCTGATGGTTCAATCCATATTTACATAAAATTTGTTAAAATCAAAACAAAATCCATCTACCTTTAAAAAAAAATGGACTGAAAACTGAAATTTTGATCAATGTCGAACAATTGATTAAATTTTATCGATTTTTCTTACAATCCAAACAATTTCCTACATTATAGAACATGCATTTGCATTCTCATCGCTAAACATAGTATAAACCATACTCTCCCCACAAAAACCAAGTACCATTGATCTTGTGATTTGGTTTGAGAATCCTCCTAATGATGATGAATCTTCTTCTTTGGATTCACCTTTTGGATCTTCTTTGTTGATCACAATCTCCACTCTCTTCCCTGTTTTCTTCTTCAGTTTCTTCAGAACCTTGTCCGGGTTGACCCGACCCGTTACTATGACTCTGTGTCTCCTCATATCCGTTACAAACTTTTCCACACCTTATATAATGAAAACCCAGAAAATGATACCGATAATGAAACCAATTATAAACTTTTGATATACCAATGTCATATAATATTTGTGTTTGTAACAAGTAGGCGCGAGAGAGAGAGAGAGAACCTTTGATTTTAGAGATGGTTTTGGCAACAGTTCTTTCACATGCATTGCAATGCATTGAAACATTAAATTCCACTACAGCAACCTGTTACAAAAAAACAACCACAGACTTTTGAACAAGAATTTCGATATCGAAAATGAACTTTAAAACTTTTGAAACTATATATATTACTTTGTCTTCATTGTCTTTCTTATCACCAGCCATTAGAACTGTGTTAAGAGAAGGCAAAGAGTTGTCTAAACAGTCCGAGGATTTAAATAAAGGATTTGAATAGGGCAAAGGCAGTTTAGTACTTTCAAATAGTTAGTTATATTCAGTTTCTTAAAAATGACCAATTAGGTTCAACCCACTTATCAAGGGTCTGAAATTACAAATCCTTGTCTGAATACCAAAATTGCCTCAGCCAACCGTCATTTAAAAAAAAAAAAAATTTAATTAAAAGTCAAATTATATTTTGAACAAGTGAAATTTTCACCAAAATTTGAATAACAATCCACCTTTGCCATCTAACCATTACAAAAAAAAAAAAATATATTTTAGGCGGTTGGAAAATGTAGATAATGTCATTACAAATACTTTCATAGCAAAAGCAATTTTATCAATGCATTCGTACTCACGGCCAAAAGAAATTAACAAAAGTCAAGATCATTATTACGTTATTACGTATAATTATTCTATTTGTAAGTTATTTTTCTTTTAATAATTAGATATCAATATTACAAGCTTTTATTTAGGTAAATTTTGTAGAATTTTGAATTTTTTCAATTTTATAGCCAAATGCATGTAAATTGTAAACAGACCAATTGTAAAATGGGACATTTTGGAACAATTAAATGAGCACTAATTAAAAAAGTTTCTTCAGAAATTAAGTACTCATCTTCAAGTGAAACAATCTTCTCTTTTTTTTTCTTTCTTTTTTTATTTATTTATTTATTATTTTTTTTTTTATTGAATGTGAAACAAGCTTACTTGCCAGTGTACATAAGTAACACATAATTAAAAATCACCATCAAATAGCATAAGCTAGCAAGCCCACTTGATCATGAAAATTAAACAATAGAGCTGAATTTCCAAAATTACAATGTATTATTACATAAGAGCCTTCTGAAATTAGTTTCAAAGAAACCCCTACATAATTAACAATTATTGTCACATAACACCAAAATCAAACTAACCAAATAGCTTATCGAACTATATGACTTGATGGAATACAACCCTCAAAAAATTTCAACTACTACACATCCTCATAACACCAATTCTTAGAACAAGTCAATCATAGAAAACTTCCAAATATATAAAATTTCACAGAAAATAAAATGCGTGATCCAAATTCAAATTTTGTGCTGTGTGAGGCACAATTGGGATGAGTTGGAGCCCACATATTTCATGTTTTGTGTTTTTCTTGTGTTCGTAGCATTTTTATTTTAATTAATCACTCGACACTTCTTCCTAATCTCTCCTGAACTTCCCGTCAACACTCCAATCGCGCCCATGCTCTTAATTGATTGACCAAACTCAGTGAAGAATTTGCTAGAGGTAAGCATTTCATCAACAATGTTGCTAGCACCATTGTTAGTGAGAAGTGCAGCATCTGACTGGAAAAGACCTTCTTGTTGCTTTAAGATGGTGAAGTAATGGTTGTCAAAACTTAGAGAGCTCCCGGGATCCATTTCAACGGTGGTGGTGTTGTCTGAAAGGGATGTGCATTTTGTTTTTAAAGTGGCAGCGTAGGTTGAGTTTAGAGTAGGATCTGCATCGCCTTTTCCGGTGAAATTGTATAGCCTATTGCTGAAGAAATTGCAATGTCCAACACCAATTGTATGTGCACCTGGTGAAATTTAGACAATTGAGAGTGTAAATTTTTTTGTACAAAAAATGAAAGAAAAAAAGTCATGTTTGTTGTCCATTTCATTTTCTGCTCTTAATTTTCAAAAAAATTGTATGTCAAACTGTTTTCCAAAATTATTTTTGGGAAAAATTTCTAAAAAAAATCACAATTTTTAGGAAACGCCAAAAAGTTGATTTTGAATTTTCAGAAATTGTTTTCGCATGTCATTGAAAGCGATAAGTGCTTTTGAGATTTCATTGTTTTGTTTTTGAAAACACGAAAAACGAAAACAAAAAAGCAAAAGCACAATCAATTAGAGGTGTTTGCTATCATCTTCATTTCCTTTTTTCATTTCTGAAAAATTGGTTTGAAATACTATTTTTTAAAAATTTCTTTAAAAAATAAAAATAAAAAATAAAAACACTCATCTTTTAGAAAACTGTTTTCCCACAATAATGAAAAAATGAATGTTTTTAAACTTTTTATTATGTTTGTTTCAAAAAACACAAATAATCAAACCTTAAAAAGTTAGCTAAGCAGTAAAAAATTGAGAATAAGATCTAAGATGTTTAAGTTTGAGTCACCTTTAGAACCACTAGAAGTTTGTCCAGTCGTTAACTTTAAAATTTCAAGATTAGTCAAAAGGTATGAAAGCTTGTCCAAACATCTGATTATAAAAAAACAACACACACACAAAACAAAGTCAAAATTAAAAACAATAACATTTACCTGATAAGACAACAAGATCACGAAGAGTGAGGTTTTTGTTGGCAAAAGCTTGTCTGAGGGTGGTGAAATTGAAGAATGGTGAAGGGATGTTGGCAAGTGCTTCTGAGGCTCTTGAAATATTTCCATCTCTTCTTCCAAGTTGCACTTCCCACACTGATTTATTGAACTGCAACAATCACCATATCAAGTTAATTCTTCTTCTTTAAATATCGTCCTCTGATCTGACACAATGACAAATGTTGTTCGCCTCTAACTTTGTGTTGTGGGTTAGAGTCACAGGAATCAAACTTTCCACAAAAAGTTGGGTATGACCTAATTTTTAGTCGTTCTGGTACATAGAGGTTTGATAGGGACTATATCCTTAATCTCTAAATTTTTTGTTACTGTATTTCAAAATACCTACAATTGTTGGATTATGTCTCGTATGTAACAAAATAATCTGGTCTCTACATTTGTATAAATTTTACCCTTTAATTTTTCACGTTGGGTCAATTTAATTTAATTGATAAATCCATTAAAAATTTGAATAGAAATAAAGGCCGAGATAGCTCATTAAAAAGGAAATAGACTATTTCAAATTGAATGTCAACTCTCAATCACTTGCAAAGAGTGAATGAACCATTTTGTCCTAGAATTACACTTCAATATCTAAAAAATATTATCAATTCAACTAAATTGACATAATACGCAAAATTTAACAATAAAATTGATATAATTAAAAATACAATGACCAAATTGACTCCCCCCCCAAAAAAAAAAAAAAAAGCCACAAAGAGTACATGAATAATTTGCCCATAGTAGTTGTATATAAGTTTACCAACGTATAAATTGATCATAGAATTTGAATCCAAAAAAAATAAAAATAAAAAAGTCATAGAATTAAGCACAACCTTCACAATAAGGTGGGTCTAACACTCATATAAAAAAATTACATCCCAGATTATAATTTTTGTTACAAGTAAAATAACTGTACTCTATACACCAACTACAAGAAACTTTTTGTTGAGTTCACATATGTTAAAATCTTTATTTAAATTAGACTTACTTGGAAAGAAACAGAGTCTCTAGCAGCTAAAGTGATGATATCAGCACAAGAAACAATGCCAGGACAAGTGGTCTCAAGTTGGGTCTTGATTTCATCAATTACATCAAAACCAGCTAGTGATTTGTTTGGTATTGCATCCTTCTCCGCTGTATTGTTTGCTGTTGAGTCCACCAATACTGATGCATCACAACCCTGCATAGCATACACACCATTAATCAAACAAATTAAACCTGATTAGTTTTTTTAGTATTTCATTTTTTCAGTTTTCGGAAACCAAAATAATGAAAAGTTCTAAAACACCAAACTTTGATCTATCGTTTTTAATTTTTGTGCAGAACAGTTTTTAAAAATTCAAAAACCAACTCTTTTTTTTATTATTATTATTATTTTGGTATGTGTAACGTTATTTTCGAAAGAAAATTCTGAAAACTATTTTTGGAAATAGTTTGCAAAATAAGTTTTTACGTATCTTTCAGAAAATGAAAACAGAAAATAGTGGTTTGTTTTAAAAATAAATATCCAAAAACGGTTTTGAAAATAGCTTGGCAAAACAAATTTTGTGTTTTTTGAAAAATAAAAACAAAAAAACGAAATCATAACCAAACGGGCAGACATTCCAACTATTTTGGTAGCATGCATGCTATCTTCGAATGAAATGAATATAAAAAAATATAATGTAGGGCTACTATATAACACTTCTTTTTTCACTATTTTATATCAGTGGAATATATTTCAAGCTATTATTTGATATCATTAATTCTATAATAATTATTTTGAAATATGGGAACTAATTTTGAGTATTATAATGATGAAAAACATAGAGGATTTCACAAAAATAATATAAATTCATAGATTTTCCTATTGCCAACTGCACGAGAATGAACGCAATACTTTTGTGTAAAAAAATTCTTGATTTATTACATTACTGTTTCATTTTTTAAAATCATTTGTGAACTTAAGTATAATATCAATGCACATATTATGAAAAAGAGAAATGAAAGAATTACCCTAACAAAGCAATCATGGAAATGCATCCTGAGGAACTTAGCAGGCAATGTTGGATTGCTTGCAACATGTTTCCAAGTTATGGTTTGAACAATCTGCTCAACCTGTGGACAACTTTTCTTGTAAAAATTCTTCTTCAACTCACCTCCATTGCAACCTCCTATACTTATTCCAAACACCACCACTATACAAAACATGAATAAACTCAAGCTCCCCTTCATCTCTCTCTCTCTCTCTCTCTCTCTCTCTCTCTCTCTATATATATATATATATATATATCACTTTTACTAGGTATATACACTTCCGTGGTATGCATCCCTATATATATATACACAGCCAATGATCTTCATTTCCCGCGTAAAACATTAACAATTCATTAATCTCTGCATGGAAACACGTAAGCAAGATTTTAAAAATGGCTAACTTTTTTGATTGTTTGTATATGAGAGAAAGAGATGTTCAAGTTGACATTTTCGTGTGGATAAACGTTTGCAAAGAGCCACACCAAACTATTATAAAAAATGAAATAGATTAGGTTTATTCGTTGCGATGTCAATGTTTTTGAAGGAGAAATAAATAATAAACATAAATTGTAAATCATGCCTATATTGGCAAGAATATAAGATTTATGTGATTTATACAATAGAATTGTTGTAACAATTTCTCTATAATTAAAAAAAATATTATAAACAGGTTGTAGAGATACTCATCCTTCGACTATATATATAGTATTAGGGCTATAGGTCATAAGACAAAAATATCAAAATATTCTTTCTCTAGAATTTAGATCAAGGGATATAATCGAGTGATTAGTATCCAACACTTATCAGGATCTACACTACTACTACTACTACTCACTCTCTCTCTCTCTCTCTCTCAATGTTTTTCTAGTCGCATGATCGTGTCTAGAAGTTTCAAATTTTAAGATTCTCTCTGGATCGTGCAGTAAGAACTACATTGAGAATTGAGGACATGAACTTGAATAATGGTAGAATAATCATATTTTTTTATTACAATTTCTTTACTATCTTATGTGTCAACATTGTATTAGTTTAGTGGGTCCTACTATCATACTTGTTGCAGTATTGACACACTGGATAATAATAAAAAGTACGATAAAAAAATGTGATCATCATAGTGTTATTGCATGAATTTTGGGTACAATTGGGAAGTATTCTTTCGAAGGGAAACTTGTGGGATGAATTGTAAAATGCAATAATTTCATTTATTGTTTTGTGTGTATTCCAAACATGCCATATCGAGTGTTGTTTTGGTGGAAAAGAACAAAATAATTTGCTTAGTGTTGGTTGCTTAAACCAATATCCTCCCTACCAAATGTTGATAACTTGTTAAAAACTTCAGCTCAGGTTTTGAGTACAGCTAATTTAGTTTGATCAAGAAGGCAAGTTCTGGATATTTAATGTCTATTTTCTTCTTTTTTTTATATCTACTTTAAACTTTGCTTCATTTCTAATGAACAAGGAATATATGTGGGTGGGATCTTAAGTGTTTAGACTTGTGAAAGTGATTTTATTAAAAGATAGTCAAAGATGTTGTGCATAACACTAGTCACTTTATGCCCCTTAATTTGCTCATTTGATCAATTTGATATTAACAACATTACATATTTAAAAAATTATGAAAAATATTAAAGACGGACCTAAAGGATTGTCATTGCTGTTGAAAAGTGTGTACAAAGTGTATTAAAATTATAAATATTTTGACATTTTGTAATGCTTATTAACAGCCCTTAAGTAGGACCCAAAAATTATTCAAAAAATAAATCAATATACTGCATTTATTATATATATAAGGGGACATTCTTATAGGTCCTAACAGATAGATTTATTGTCCAATAAGTTTTATGATAATTAATGACATTTTTAATTAAATAATATTAAAAAAGAGTCACTAATTATTAATTTTTAACAACAGTTTGAAATTGTCACAAAAAATGTCACTAATTATAAGTTTTAGAGACAGTTTAAAAAAATCGTCACAAAAAAATATGACTAATTTTTAACTTTCAATGACAATTTGAAAAATTCATTATAAAAAAACGTCACTAATTATAAATTTTAATGACAATTTATAAAAATCGTGACAAAAAAAGTCACTAATTGTCAATATTTGGAGACATGCAAAAAATCATCACAAAAAATTATTCTTAGTGACCATTTTACTATGACTTATTTTTAAGGGATTTTTGATGAAAAGCCACTTCTATGGAGGCTTTTTTGTGTGAAACCCACCGAATAAAATAATAGTTTCAAAAGTCCGTCAAATAAAAAAATATGATGAAAAGGCTGAAATGCCCTTCCATATAATCCAAAACCTTCGTTGAACCATTTCTCTTCTTTTCTATCTCTACATTACTGGTGTCCTCTCTCTTTCCTTTATTTTCTCTCTTTCTAAACGCTAAACCCTTTTGATTTCCATTTTCGATCTATGTCATAAAATCGAAATTTTGAAATCATCCATTGAAATCCATCACCATCTCAGATTTGATGCCTATGAACTCATGTTTGAGATCAATAATTTCAAATCTGAGATAAAATGACCTATATATGTCAAAAAAATGATAAATTGATATATTACAATAAAAAATTGAGAGTTTTTTGTTTGTTTGTTCATAGATCTAAAGTAAAATTCGACTATAATTCATTTATCTAGTATGTACTCTGTTTTCGCAACAGTAAAATTTTACTCTAGTTAATGAAAAATAAAGTTTATTCTCTTATGCATAAACAAATATTCAACAACAGAGTAAAATTTTACTTTAAGATTCGGAGTAAATTTTACTTTGAAATACAGTAAAATTTACTAGAAAACAAATCAGAAACTACATAGACAAACATTCAATAACACAGTAAAATGTTACTTTCAATTCAGAGTAAATTTTACTCTGAAATACAGTAAAATTTTACTCTGAAATAAAATAAAATTTTACTTAAAGATTCAGAGTAAATTTTACCAAAAAACAAATCAGAAACTGCATAGACATACATTCAACAACACAGTAAAATTATACTTTCAATTCAGAGTAAATTTTACTCTGAAATACAGTAAAATTTTACTCTTGCATGTTAAGAAAACAGAACAGATAACACCAGAGTAAAATTTTACTCTTATTTTATCAAACAAAAACAGAACACATACCATAGTAAAATTTTACTCTTATTCTGTCAAACAAAAACATAGCACAAACCAGAGTAAAATTTTACTTTCATTATGTCAAACAAAAATAGAGCACACACCTGATTGAACTCGGCAAATCAATAAAAACAAATCAAAAATAACAATAGATTTATACAGCTTTGCAACGTAATCTCTCTTTTAATTGAGAGTGTTGATCTTGGATGGCGAGATCGTGTATTGTTGACCAAGGGTGAGATCATCGGCGGTGAGATCCTTAGACTTTGAGATCGTCTTCATGGATTTCGCAGATCGTCTTCAAGATCGGTGTATGTATGAGCTGAGATTGTTCAAATATATGATATCTTAAAAAAAGTTCCAAAAAAGGGGGTTTTACCAAAAATTTCAATTTTTAATAGGACTTAACGGGAATTAAATCAAACTATTTGAACATATTAATAGTTTATCTTCAATATAACATATACATCTACCCTCGATATAACCTACATATCTACTAACTTTAAATCTATACTATTTTTGAAATAAATTTTAAAATATTTTTTTATAATTCATAACATTTTTTATTAAATATATAATACATGATTCATCATCAAAGATATCACCCATTTGTGAGGATATCACATATACCTGCCATGCTCCCCTTGTGCATGCAGTTGGTGTATCATTGTCCCCTCCAAGGACTTTAGTTGGAGCAACAAATGTTAAATGGTTAATTATCAATTTATCTAAAAATTTAAGGTATTACAAATGAGTAATTGATTATTTATAACTTTGAACACGCTCTCTCATATGTGGTCATGTTCTCTTTTATATAAGAGAAGTGTTAGAGACTCATAATTTAGATCGATAAATAAATAGATCAAACACGTTCAAGTATATTAATTATCAGACAGGCAGTACCACGAACTCATCTTTATTATTTGTATTAACAAATAGTCACAAGAAACATTTTGGATTATAATTCTCTCCATTTCGTAGACAAATTGAGGTCTTTAATTCATTTCAGCACATCATTAAAATTCAAAATTAATGGATTATAGCTATTGAGTCATTATAAGTGTTTTTTTTTTTTCCTCAAATGATCATGTGAATTTTTCACAATCAAAATTATGTAACACAAATTTTTATTCTATTAATATAATGGAGATCAGGACTCCAATCCAAAAGTTACTATAGAAAGGCCTTAAATCACAAAGACAAAGCAAAAGGATAAAGATGGTAGAGAGAAAATTGGATTATGTTTTTGGGCTGTATTTTGTAGAAGACATTCAAAATTTGGAAGGTTAATGTATTATTTGGTTTATTGGAATAATCATTCATTAACCTCCTTATGAAATGATTATTCTCCTTTGCACATTTTCTAACCCTTTTTTTTGTGTGTGTATGTGTGTGTGCATGCACACGCGCTCAGTGAATCGAACAAAGCATAAAAATTTCTACGAAAGATTAACCTTTGAATTAAAAGATTTGTTAGTAGATCTTGTGAAGTTATGTGGTTACTTAATTAATTTGTTCCACCGTCGATGACGCCTACATTTAGATTATATTTGTAATTAATACACATGATGATTATCATAAATTAAGGACACAATTAGGTAGCAAATTGAAGTTGAAAACACAAATGTCAAAGTCAACAGTACTAATTTAATCAATTCCTTAATCATATTTTAGTGCCTAAACCTTGACGGTTCCCCAAGATTCCCTCGCCACATGCCTGCTACTTGCTAGCTGGGGATTTTGTCTCCAAGGTTTGTTTGGTTGAGTTTTCATAATTTTATTTTTTATTGGATGAAAAATTAGAAATTGGTTTAACAAAAATAAACATCGAAAAAGATTTTTTGAATTTTAAAAATCATTTCAATCCTAAAAATAAGAAAATAATAAATGTTTTTCATTTTTCTTTTCACCAAATTAGTTTTTGGAAAAATATCATAACAAATTTTGAAAACTCGATCAAATTTTGTAAGAAATTTAAAATACAAAAATCTCGAGACATAATCACGTGACTAGGAGTACAAATAGAGAAGGTCATGCCCTACGTGTTTGTGTTTGTTTTTGTTTTTCTTAGCTCTTCCTCTTGAGATGACAATAACTATTAATATTAGAGTAGTATTATTTATTGTCAAGTGGCATTATCATTAATCTTGAAAGTCAAAACTCACCACCATCATTGGAAGCTTAATTATGGGGTTATATAATTTTTTTTAAAAAAAATAGCTATATAGAATTAAAATATAGAAACTGCACAACAATTTATTATGATCTATGATTTATTTTAAGTATCACCTACACTTCATTTTAATAAATCTCAATCATACAATACAATTTTTTAAATTTTATTTCTGTACACTTATCATTTTCTATATATATGATTGCATGTGAAAATGCACAATTAGTCTTGGAAAGCTTAGAACTACTATCACGTCTTGGACAAGTGTCAAATGATTTAAAGCAAACATATTATAAACGTTCATTCATTGCATGGGAATGCAACTTTTCAGATTGACAATAATGGCTAAGAAGTATTCTAAAGTGAGTTTTGCTTTTGTCATGACCCGAACCCGCCCCTATGGGTTTAGCATCGTAATCGGCTAGTAATTCTTGAATTACCAAAAGCCTCTGAACAGGATAACATAAAATAGGGATTGCAGAAACAAATATACAAAATTAACATAGTCCATAGAGCTATGCAGACATATATGGGACATAAATTTTCAAAATAAACTTATATATATATATATAGATGTGACATCAAAAATACATTAGTCTTACATCACCCAACTACACAGATAGGATCAAAGGATACTTAGCCCAAGTACAGATATACAAAACAAGCTTAACTTAAGCCTTGACATAATCCTCTTAAAAGGAACCTCCTCAGGAGGCACGGTAATTGGCTAACAAAAGAGAAACATAGGCCGTCAACTTTGGGCCTGGTCACGTACCTGCTTACCTACATGCATAATATAAATAGTGAGCTGGAGCCCAGTGAATAATAATAGAGTAAAGAGGTCTAATGAATGTTGTCCATAACAGTTACAAAAAAAAAAAATTCAATAGTTGTCAAAAATGAATTTGTAATTATGTTCAGAAATCATAATACAAAACATATACAGTTTCAGAGTCGTATTCATAATTAGAACTTGCAGTTAATCATACGTGGCACATTCATTAGCACTAGCAAAAACAGTTGACCCATAAAGGGACAGCCATAAAGGCATACAGTTGACTCTCGTACACGGAGATGGTACAATTGGCTAATGAGACGTACAGTTGGCCCATAAAGGGACATATACATAAGGATCCATAACAGTTGGCTCATGAGATGCACAGTTGACCCATGATTGAGACGTAACAGAACAGATAATAGATGTCGTTTGAAGCTAAGAATGCCACGAATACATTTCAGAAACATTAGACAACCATTCATTCATGCGGAAAATAATATAAATAGAAACAGATCATCTTATATTATTCAAAAAATACTATAGTTGAGCATAACTTCACAAAGTTATTACTCACAGATAACAGAGGCTCCAAGGTAAACAGACAGAATAAGCAAATCAGATGTCTTGTGGCATATGACCTACATAACATAACAAATACATACATTGAAACACACGGGAGTGTACATAACTTATTTCATTGTTCTTAGTGTGTTTCTAGTCTTTATCCTCATTATGGTATCTCAATCTTGGCCTAGGAATACCTAGGATGGAATGAGGATGCAAAAATATATTTGAAAATATCTTTCAAAACTTGCTGAAAATAGGGTCCACGCTTGAGCGTGGCTTTCCTCGCTTGAACAGACATGCAAAATGTGAGGGTTCGCTCGAGTGTAACTTTGTCCGCTCGAGCAGTCTGTAAAATTTGAAAAAGTATTGGTTGCTTGATTTTCACGCTCAATGGACGCTTGATCCTCGCTCGAGCGTGAGACTCAGACCCTCGCTCGAACGTGACTCTTGTCGCTCGAGCGATCTGCAAAAATACATGAACTTTTGGGAGCTTGCATTTCACGCTCGAGCAGACTTATTGTCGCTCGAGCAAAAGTGCACGCACTCAGAGTGGTCGCTCGAGCGGGGACTCTTACGTTCGAGCGTGGAAGCAGAATTCTGTAATTTCCAGATTTGTTTCCAAAGCTCAAAACTCAAATTTTAAGCATCAAAACTTGATTTTTTTTTCCTGGACCAAAACTTGAGGAACACTTAGAAATTCATAATACACCATGAATTAAAAATCTTTTCAAGAAATCATGGCCAAATAACTTGCAAATTATGCAAAAATTCAACTTAACATTTGTGAATGATCCATGAACATGACATGCATGAATTTCTTTGAACTTAAGCTCTTCAAAACATGATCAAATGTTACAAAACAACATGAAACTTGATCATTTCCCAAAATAAAGGTGAATTCAAGACATGGATGAGGGAATTCTTGAAAATTAAACTCAAAATGTGAGAAAATATGCATGCATGCATGGTATGGCTCAATGCTCTTCATTTCTAACTCAATTCTTGTATCAATCAACATAATTCTCTTGTGTTCATGCATTATAGTCTAGATTTCAAGACTTAAGGAAAAAATTCTTACCTAGAGACTTAAATTCACGAGTGTTGAAGTTGAAACCCTTAAATCCTCTTCACTTTCAACAATTTCTTGCAAGTTCCCCCTTCTCCCTTGTTGAACTCACTCTCACTTTTTGTCTCTCACCCTTTCCTCACGTTTGTAGCTCAAAAAGAATGAAATGAGAGTATATAGGTGTATATAAGAGTCCACTAGTGCCTTCGTTAGGCTTGGATTTAAGGAATTCATTAATTAGTCTTAATTGAGCACTAATTACTCTAATTTAATCGGTCCGAAATGAATTTCAATTAAACCCACAATAAAATTCTAAAAATTCTAATTAACACATAAATCAATCAGATGCCGATAAGGCCTTTAATTCGCAACCGAAATGAAAACATGAACAGATCTTTCTATGTTAAACAAATATATACACACACATAAGGCAACATATGATGCAACATTTCACTTCAATTATTCATTAGGCGTAATTAAGCATGAATTAACGTTAATCATATGTCAAGGTTGTTACAGCTTTCTTTTAAATTGTGTTTTGATCATGAATTTAGTTAGAGATTTAGAAAGAGAAAGAAAAAATATAAGTAAAATATGAATGAAATATAGTTACATTTTACTTACCTTTTTTTCTTTCTCTTTTCAAATCCTTATTCAAGTCCATAATCCAAACACAACCTATAAAAAAAAAACAAAACAAAAATTATACTTCAATTTTTCCCTTTTTTCTTTAAAAATTTTTTTCAGGATCTAAACACATCATTAATAAAAGTAATTTCTGTTTAATTATATGTAATTCATGATCAAGTGTGTTAAAACTTTCATTCCATCATAAAAATGAAAAAATAAAGGATTAGTTGTTGCTACTAGGGACCAAGTTGCAAGGAATTCCTTGACATGCTTGAATGCAATTCACTCATTTGATGTATTTGATACAACTTATTATAAGTTAAAAACTAATAATTAAAAAATAAAATCTAAATTTTTTTCCTCTACTTCTCAATATAGACCCTTTTTAAAAAACCCCTTTTTTTTTTTTTTTGTGATTTATATAAACTATTTTTTGTTTCTCAAGCTGTAAGTAAAAATTACCACATATTTTCATATATATATATATATATATATATTTAAACAATCTTAATAAACTTCACCAAATATAGCCATAAACAGTCTTAATTAGTTGTGCACTAATGCTAGCAAATTGAGTACTTCTACTTACACCCAAATTTCTCACCACACCTACATCCTTCCGCCCACCCACGATCCTCATTTGGTCCAAAGACCTATGGCACAACTTAGCCCCACCCAATCCATTGAACTTTTACTTAGCCCAGCCTGTATGCTGACGGGATGGGCTAGCCTGAACAAGCCTTAGGTTGGGTTTGGGCGTAGGTGTCAAAGTGAGAGGCAACTAGCTAGCCTGGCAAAAAAATAAAAAATAAAAAAATAAAAAGAAAAAAATAAACATAAAATAAACTCGAATCTCAACCCATTGGCTTAGCCCATAACCCAGCCTGCTACAACTAAACAAAGATTGTGGTCTCCCTTTTGAAATAACTATGTTAACTTCATAGAATGTTTTTGTTTTTGTTCCATTAGTAATCAATAGGGTATACAAGCAAAACATAGCATCTCATGTTACATCTCATATAAAGTGAGAATCATTAATAACATCATTAATGGCATATGATTAAAACCTATCAATTAATTTACACTAACTAAAAACAAACAAAGATCAATAGTAATAGTAACTTGCAAACACATGCAAATTTAATATGAGTTAGGGTTTCATAATTAAAACTAACTTTCAATTCATGGGTAGCCCTACTTCCAAGCAAGTCTCCCAAAATAGCTTGTTTCTCTCCATCTCATCCACCATCTCCTCCCTATTTCCATGGACACCAACCCTTGACTCATCTTCTCCCTCCTTTCTCGGCACAATTTCCAAGGTGACCCCTGACAATCCTTCAATTTGACAACTACAATCGCACTTGTAATGAACGTGTCCATTACCACTCCTACCATCAACATCATCATGACGGATATCATCGCTAAAAACTTGATCTTGAACACTGAAGTTTTTGATCTCATCATGAAAACTTAGTATGTCACTTGAATCATAGCTACATGACTCAGCATCTGCATTCATATCTGCATCAGTATCAGCATCAGCTTTAGAAACGCCATGACACATTGAAAAAAGATTTTGCAAGTCATCATGGTGGTTGAAACCTCCTTCTGAGTCTCCACTAGCCTCAAATAGGAAGATAGAGGACATCTCACCATTGCCATACCTCCAATCCATGTTTTCTTTTTTGACCCTAGATGTGGAAAATGAGATGTTTCACTCTTTTATTCATTTTAATGAAAGTGGTCTATTGTGGTTTCATTATATAAGTCATGAAAGCTAGTTTTGTGCTAATTAGTGTGATGATGACTACACTAATCCATCTTACCTCTCCATTAATGAGGTGGTAGGTTGTTGCTTGAGACTACATTTTAGTGGTGGGGTTCATGTAATCCATTCATTCTCAATTAAAAATGTTATGTCCCCCCAAAAAAATTATAGTTAGAAAAGTGTTCAGAATTTTAAAATATGTGAATTGTCATCCCAAGATTTTAAGTCCATGCTTTTGACATTTTCAAAAAAAATAAGGTTAAATTTTGTTACCAAAATTACTAAGGCCATACGTTAGCATTTTTACATAAATTATCAAACTATTTTAAACCAAAAATTCTATGTCTATACTTTTGGCATTTTCACAAATTTATTAGGTCATATATGGCCTAGATCTGGGTATGTAATATTATTGGCTTTCAATTAGGTCCAGAAAATAAGTTGTTGGACTTGTTCTTCTTCTCTATCATGGAATATGTAATTGGATTGACCAACATGTACATTCTCCCACTTATGATTGATTCAACCTATCAAGTGTTGACACGTGATCAACAAAGTATCGGTAAAAGGGCCATATCAACTTCCAAAATTTGCAAAATTAGACCATCATTAAACTAAATCTAGATATTGTGAAAAATGACCCTAAGGTTCAAGTGTTGTTGACAAGAAATCTTGTAGTAGTTTCCAGTGGAATTGTTGGTAGGAAATAGGAAAAGGTTGTATACAACAAATCAGCGGCAAACCTAGAAATTTTGCTAAGAGGATTCTAAAATTTCTTAGACTTTGAGGTCAAAATATAGTGCCATAATACTAGGTTTACAAACGAACCGAGCTGTTCATGAACAAACTTGGCTCGGCTCGTTAAGGGCTCGGCTCGGCTCGTTTAAACAAGCCGAGCTCGAGCTCGCATGAGCTCGGCTCGTTTATCTTTATTAAAATTATATAATAAATATATTATTTATATATTAAATAATAATATAAATAATTTTTTTGTTTAAATATTTATATTTAAATAATATAAATAATATTAAAAAAAATTTATCAAGCCGAGCCAAGCTCGAGCTTCATTAAAATTAACGAGCTGAGCCGAGCCAAGCTTGAGGCCAGTTTCTTATCGAGCCGAGCTCGAGCTCGATAAGTAAACGAGCCGAGCTCGAGCTCGAGCTCAGCAAAGCTCGGCTCGGCTCGGCTCCATTTGTTTGCAGCCCTACATAATAACCCCCAAAAAAAACATTTATAGGACCTAAGTGGAATTTTTTAAATTTAGGGGGTTCAGTAAAATTTCTTGAAAGTTTGGAGGAATCATCTAAAATTTCCTAGACTTTGAACGGACAAAAATACTATTTTAATTCACATAACATTCCATTCTCATTTTCATCATAAATTCATTAGTCAAATAAATGAAAAAAAAGGATATTTTCATCTCGTTTACATTAGAATATATATTTTATCATTATTTATCTTTGGGTCTTTACATTATATTTATTTGTATCATTCTTTGAGCCTCATTAAAAAGGAGGTCAATATAATTATACTAAAATTATATAACTTGTTATATTTTCCCCAAATCTTAATAGAAATCAATGTAATTTATCCTTTGAATTTTGAATTATTAATACCCAAAATGAATAAATAGTGTTTAAGAGGAATTTTCAAAAGTTTGGGAGCCTCCTCGGCCTTCTTGTGACCGCCATTGCACCAAATAAACTTTATACAACTTGCACAAGTCGGTGGATGTGCACTGAATTAACCTACTGAAAGTGTACTAACTCTCACATATCTATCATTGGTCAATGGGCACCAATTTGGGAGAGAATTGGCATACTTTTGGTTGGTCGATTCGGTGAAATAGCATAGCTGTGGGAAGTATGGAGAAGAAGACATAGCATGTGGAATACAGTGAGAGAATGAGAGATCAACAGTTCTTGTCATAACCAACTTGCTTACCTAACCTGTTTTCTTAATCATTGTTTTCATTGTTGATCTCTTCACAGGTTGAAACATTTTTCAATAGCAACCTCCACTAGTCAAGTAGAGCCCACCCATGTTGCTTAGCTTATCTTCTAGAAAAAGTTAAATTTCACTTGTGTGTTTGTATTTTAAATTTGGGTAAGAATTTATAAAACCCAAAAAAAACGTAATGAAAAAGAAAAAAAATTATACCTTAAATTTCATTCATTTTTCATTTTGTTTTTCTTTTCCTCCTCAAATCTTAGATTCAAACCCTAAATCTCAAAATAACTCAACATGTATAACCTAAAATTAAGAGCAAATGTAATCATGTTGTCTTTTTTAAACCCACTTTAACAAGAATTTCGTGCACTGAATCAGAATCATATGAAGAAAAAGACACAGAAAATTATATCACAAAGATAAAACTTGAGAGTACCTCAAATTATTAACAAGAAAATTAAGATTAATTTCAATTATGTACTATAATAAAGAGAAAATGTGGAAGCAACCATGAACAGTGCCTGAAAATTTCTCATACCGACAAAACTCAGTCATAAATCATCCTTGGCAATAAAAATAATATATACATTGAAGTGTTCTTTACAAGATGCAGATCCAAATCTAGAAAATCTCCCAAACAAATTTTTTATTTAAAAAAAGAAAGGAACTGACATCCCAAATTTGAAACTCTGCATGTACAAATAAATCGCAAAAAAATAAAAAAATAAAAGAGAAGCATTGAGGAGATACACGGACATGAGGATAAATAACAAGGGGAAAAGCAATCTTATTTGCATTTAGTCACAGGAAGATACTGATTACTGTCTTGTTTCAAAAATATTGTAGAACGGGTTTTCTTGACATGATCTGCAAAGAGACGGTGTCTGCCATCAAAGATACAAAAAATGTGTTAGAAATCAAATATAAATCCTTCTCCACCAACAAAAAAGGATATATACACTTCAATCTTCACCATAAACACAATGCAAATAAATTATTAAAAAAATCAAGGAAAAAAGGCAACACACTGGTTACAGACCTTGGGATGAAACTAAGAAATCATTATTTATCATCTTTCCATCCTCTGGTCAGTGGCAAAGAAAATATATTGGCATCTTATATGAAAATAGTATATTGTATATACATATATGTATATGTATATATAAAGATCATGATTCATTGGTGGTAAGAATGGCCAACCACTCTTCTCATTCTGATAGAAGCAATTCATTTTTACAAGAAAAAGCCAATGTATTCATTCGATAGAAGAAACCAACCTTTCATACTCGAGCTTTTGAGTAACTATTCCATTCAGTAGAAGCTCCGAACTGTGAACTGTTGCTCCTGCAGATACAAAGGTTAAAATTTTCAAATCAGACTGTATTTTCTAAATTGATCAAGGTTGAAACAATGTGTATTTTTCTTAACCTTTCTCAAGAAAAGGCACACAGAGAACGTAATCTTCCTCGCAAGATAAAACTAACAGGTCGTCTGGAATTTTATCATCCTTGAATGCTGATCTACCAATTCTCTCCATCGCCTGTGCATTCCAATTAGACTTAGTTCTATATACAAGGAATTGAAGAATAAACAGTACAAATGTTCCTCGGGGATTGAAAAAGAGATACAGAAAAACATGTCCCACCAATCAGCGGTAAAATTTAGAACAAAGGAGAATCACACTGCGAACTGTACCCTAAATGCAAAGACATGCCACATCAATAAAATCAATTAGGAAAAGGATTAATACCAATTACCACCAGTAGCTTAAGGCATTGACAGAAATAAGGTCTTTGAAGAGCAATGAACTGTATTTGGTGCAGCGAGACTAAACCCAAGGATATAGAAGTGGAGTCAAATTCACGCCCATAAAACTTAGCCTCCGTTTGGAAAGTGGGTTGGCTTTTTGGCTTTTTAGCTTTTTTGGCTATTTTAGCCTGGGCTAAAAAGCTTGGTTTGGAAAGAGCTTTTTGGTTTTTTAACTTTTTTGACTTTTTTTGTGAGAGAAGAGTGTAATGATTATGGGTTGGATGTGATGTTTTGTTTTTTGTGGCTAAAATAGCCTATTTTGTCTTTTGTGGCTAAAATAGCCAAAAAAACCCAGAAAAGCCCTTCCCAAACGGACCCTTAATACAATTGATTAACTTGAAATCCAGACTCAAGCTTCCATTTGATGGTACAACAGGATTCTTAGGCATCATACCCATCAACCTGGCAATTTATCAGGCTAGGATGTAAGGCATCCTTGAACCATCATAAGAATGATGCTTTGTGAAAATCTTATGTTATTTAGACTCGGACTGTAGAAACTCCAAGCAAAAAAGATTACTCTGTCTGATGATAAAATTAAACCATCCAAGAACTCTAATCATACCCAAAGCACTAAAACCATAACAATAAATGAGTCATGGAAATAAATTAACCAAATTCTTATATGTGACTTTGTCATCATTAATGCACTTGGATCAAAAGACAGACAAAAGAGAGCTACACACCAGACCATTCACTGCCTTAACCAAGCTTGCCAATATTTCTTTACTAGGCTTTGTATTTGGAGTAATCAAAACTTTTAGCCCCTGCAAAGAAACATAATTTATTAAAAGGAACCACACGGCTGCTGCATCTGATTAATTAAACAAAATAGAGTGATGACCTGTAAAAGAGGACGTTGGCTTGCACGTGCCAATGAAACTGGCAAGCTAAAGCCAAATTCCTTTTCCTTTTTGGCATCTCTTAATATGTAATTTCTCTCATCCATGAAACAGCCAGTTTCTCCACAGCTCTCAAGCCATAAATGGGTCACCACTGGTTTTCCAAAAGCAATAGCTTCTAACATATTCCTCGTACGCACAAACTTATCAGTTATGAATTGTGTTGCTTCTGAAATAGAGGATGCCACAGAAGCTCCAAACCGGGCCAAGACCTGTGAAAAAAAACCAACAATAAGCTCACTTTTGAGTTCGAACTGTCTTACATCAAGGAAAGAGCAAAGGATACCATAAATAACTACCTTCTTCTGCTGCTTGATTGTATCGTCATCTAAGTGGTGACTGAACAATACTCGAACATTAGCCATATCTCTCCTCCTCCTTGAATCTTTCATTATAGAAGTGGGTTCTGGTCCATTGGAGACTAAGCTACTGATTTCTTTCATAAGGGATTTTGACAAATTCTTCCTGCATGACTGTTTGAAATACTCATCACCCTTACAAATAGGTGATGCAGCATTTACAGGTGTGGTACAATTAACAAGAGTAGTAAATGTTGAACCAGATTGTTTACATCTGTCTCCTGGTGACACTTCAAACCTAGCATTCACTTCAGCACCTTCACCAGCTAGCATGGTATCTGCATCACTGTTCCTGTCAGATTGCTTGGATGCAAAACCCCCAACCACATCTTTAGGAATCACATTCCCATCAACAGAATTACATTTAAGAGAAGCATCTCCTAAACCTCCTCTATCTACACTTCGCTGAAACAAGCTTCCCTTAGACTGCCGGTCTGAGGAACGCAACACTGGACCAGCACATGCAGATGACCAAGCTTTCTTTCTGATGCCTAGATCAATGGAAGTGCTCACAGCACTGATTTCTGATCTTTTTAATCTTCCAAGTGATTGTCCATCAGCTTCCAGCCCAACAGATTGATTGACTAACTCAGAGAACTTTCGACGAGTTCTTTTTCCTTTGTTATTTCTCAATGGCCCAATTCCGACAACAGTAGTTGTATCAGTTACCTTTTGATGTGATTTCTTCTGCTCAGTCAATTTGACATTTTCAAGTTCTCTGGATTGATTGGAACCCAATTTAGAAAATTTCTCTTTACCAACCATTTTAAAAGCATCAGAACCAGTACTATACCCTTGTCTTGTTTCAGTCAAATGCAACCGTTCACTAGAATCACATGATGCAATCCCATTCCTTATTTGATTTGTTACCCTGCGCTGTCTAGTTCGACGAGCTATGGGTGTGAAAGTACCAAGTTGTTCTAGCAAACTCCGTTTCTTGACCGATTTATACCCACTTGATGGTGCAATGACATGACATCTATCAACCACATCAATGTCATTTCTTTTCAGAGCTCTTTCTTCTTCTATTTGCTCTCTGTCTATTTTTTCAATCCGATTGGTGGCAAAGTGTCCTTCAGCATTTGACTTGGCCTTCTTCATTTCTTCCTTTACTAACTCAGTATCGCATTGCTTCCTGACATTCTTTGCTTGTTTCTGTGATGAAACAGTTGATTCTTTCCTTAATTTGTTACCAATGCTCTTTGTTTTCTTGGAATTTTTTGTAATAACCCCAAAACTAGACGAAACTGATCTCTTCCGTAGAAAGTTTCCCTTAGACTGTGCTCTGTTCTTTTTTGCTCTGGGAGAAGCCTCAAACATATTTTTGGTACCTTGATCAATGTCTTTGTTGTCATGGTCAGCCATGTCCAAACCAGCACATAACACTTCCATAGCTTCAGCAGCCATTTGAGTATCAAACCCTACATTCAGCACCTCTGTCATATCCTTGTCAGTACCAATAGCTTCCATTCCATCTGAGGAACCAATATTTAATGGTTCATCCAACTCCTTAGTAAGATTCTTTTTGGATTTTGTTTTTGTTACCTTTGTTGTCTTGTCATTCCTTTTTGAATTACGCGACACTAACCCTGAATTGGAATTAACTAAACCCTTTACCTTTTGATGGATATCTTGTTGATCTTCCTTGTCTCTGGTTTCATCAACAACCCCATTTCGTTTGGAGTCAAGATGCTTCCGAGGTTTGCTAACAGATCTCTTCCTCTGACCTCCATTATCAAAGAATGCTTCCTTCTTTTTGGTGAAAAACTCTCCCCCTCCTTCATCTTCACGGCTGTCATCCCAATCAAAAATCTCTCTTTCTCCAGCTGTAATTTTCAGATTTGTTATTTTGACCAAACTTTGAGTCCCTTTTGCACTTGAGTCAGGCTTTGATTTCTGCCCAGTGGAGCTTCCAAAGCCAACTTCTTGATTAAAATCCATGACATTAAACTGGAGATACCTGTCCACAACATCTAGTGCATTGGCTTGCGACAGATCTCCAGGTTCTTGAGAGTCAACATAGCTTAGCCCCGCCATCTCATTACCACAAGCAGGCAACTGAGACAAATCTGCTCCTCCATCAGCATTATTCTTGTCATCATTGGGTCCTTTAGGCTCAGCAAGTGTATCCTCCAGAAAAAGTCTCCTCACCGTTGAACTACCAACCTTACACTTGTTTTCATCCCTTAATCCCTTCATTTTCTCATTGTACTCTTCCTGAAAATCCTCCTGATCAACTTCCTCTCTGAATGTCGATAAATCTCTAGTAACAGTTACGACCCCATTGTCCTCAGCAGTATGTTGTTTTGAAAACTGATCTTCATTCTTAATGGAGCATGACTCACTGTTGGTTCCCTTAAAAGCCTTGCTACGAGCTGCTAAACCAGAGGCCCGTAAAGCTGCAGCACGAACTGAAGTAAAATCCCTTCGCACAGATACTGAGTCAACAAGTAATAATACAATTTCAGACTTGTATAACAGTTTAGCCACATGTGCCCTAAATTTTCATTAAATTGGTCTACAAAACTCAAACCTTCTAAAAGGCCAATAAGAGGTATTCACACACCACCAGTATGGAGTGATGATTTAAATTGTTTCCATAAGGAAGGATATAAAGTTCCTGATAAACATAAACCTGGACTGCTTTTGTTGTTGATACAGCTGAAAATATTTCATTAGTAAAGCCATGCAACCGCAACAAAATTTTTGAATGTTTCTTCTGCTCTAGTAAAACATTTCGTAAATTTAAACAAACAAACCAAAAAATAAACAAAACATGACTAGAAGGTATAAAAGTACAGGGATTTTTGTGATAAAAAAGAGAATATACTAAACAGGATGAGCTTTATTGATGCATCCATAATATGAACCACATTTCATGCTAAACATAGAAAATCATGTTATTAGTTGGTTGAAAATAGGTTTGCTTCTTCAAAATGGGCTCTTAAGTCAGCTAAAAATAGACAAAAGAAGGCACGGGGCATTTAGTACATAATAATGTTATCCCGGTAATTTTCCTCTATTTAACCAATAATGCAAATGTCCTATAAATGATTTCATCTTCAAATGTATAAAAGAAGGTGGCTTCAACTAGCATGTGAAAGTCAACATTTATATGAGATCCTTACATACAAGTTCTAAGACAGTAATGCCAATGTTAATAACAAGACCAAATGATATGGGAAAATAACAACAAATTTGTCAAAATAGTAACCATCATCAACTTGGCATGGGATGCTCATAAATTGGCCAGACAAAAGAGATCCACGCTACAATAATGCAAAAGATGAGAGTGGTACCAGGCTTTGATTTTGGGGTGTCTTTGCCTGGTAGTCTGGCAGTAGAAACATCAAGTTCTGGAAGAGGAAAAAAAAGTAAATATCACTTTGGACACAATAATATGCTAGTAATTTCTGGCAATAACCCAAATAAAGAAAAGTCATTGAATAGCTCCATTGGTTTTAAACACTAGCAATAAATCAAAATGGGGATATTAAAAGGATACAGAGTCATTACTACAATTGATTAATGAGGATCCATTCCACTGAGTGTCCTTCTCTAATCTGTTACGTAATTTCTAATGGTGGCATGGGAACCATTTCCAGAAACAGCTCTACTCATGAGTAAATTCATTAACAAAATCACATTTATACCATAATGAACCAAATCAATTATCATAATCTGTCATAGCTCCTATTGCATAATATCAACCATTTCATAGAAGGGGGAAAATGCACACCACACAAGGTCTAGGATTAACTTTATTTTTAACTTTAAAAAAAATTAACCAATAGCATGTGATGCAGATATTATTCCATTGCATCTTTTCCTTCCATAAACGGCACATAATTTGCATCATCAACAATAGACAAGTTGTAACTAATAATGGAAGAAAAATGGGTTTTTAAAAGAAAAAACGCAAATTTCCAAAATTAGCAATCAAACTAATATCTCATTTTTTTATTAAAAAATAGACTGACCTGCACTGTGCTGTTCATTACTCAAACCATCTGATTCTGTTTTCAATCCCCTATCATCTTGTTTGCAAAGCTTATGCTCCTGGTCCACTGGATAAGTGCCAACTCTTTCTACAGGGTCATCATCAGATGACTCCTCAGTATCACCCAAAATTTCCGTCCTATCTGTTCCTTCACCATCAGTATCAACAACTTCATAATCACTCTCATCTAACAGTTGAGTGGCCATATTCTCAACACCATCAAGATCATCCAATACTTGAGTTTCACCACCGACATTCATGATCTGAGTCTCAAATGCATCTTCAAATGGAACAGTATCAACAAATGGCAAAGTATTTTGTAGAAATTGCAACTCATCAAAATCCTTGCCTTCAAATCTCTCACCTATTGCAATAAATGGGTAAGCAAATAATTAATATCTTAATCTTGTATTTGTCAAATCTGCACATCTGAATTGCAAGAAAATTAACACTTTATCATTGCTCACTCTTAGATTCCCATATTTGCCAAATTCATGTACATGGCTTGCTGATTCGTCATAAAAAAATGAACCAACTCATATTCTTCATAATAAACAAATGTTTCTCCACCTTAATTTAACAAAATTTGTTCTTTGTCCATATTACTTGAATTATTGTACATGGGTTTGTGGGGGCTATCAGAAAAACTCAAACTTAACCATACCCAAACAAAAAAGTCTATCACTAACACTTACAGCAATGCTACTGCAGCAAACATAAACGAAAACTGTTGCATCACCCCAACCAGAATCTGTTCTTTAAAATTTGTTCATCAAAAAATACAAAAGCTTGATACTCTCTTAAACACCTATATAAACATAGATGTCAATAGTAGTAATTAAACACAACAATGACAATAGTAGAAAATTAATATTGGTTTATCATTTACACTTCTACACCTATGACAATAGTAGTAAATTAAACACAACTATACTCTTTGCTTAAAATTGAACAAAATGTATGTTTTATTATTTCTTCATACATGTCAATTTAGTATTTTTTTGTTGGGTCGAAATAAAAATAAATAAACAAAATTTGAATACAGCAACAGTCCAACATAAGAATTTATTTATTTATTTTTGGGGTGTAGGTTTGTTCCTGATGCATTTAAGTGTATACTAGCACTTAGTGATGCACGATCTTATCAAGAAACCACATGCATCAAGTGAGCCCATATAATTACCTGTGAATGCGTAAAGGTAGTGCAGTATTCAACTCTCATTCGAGTAAGATATATTATTCACTATGGGTTGAAAGATAACATAAAAACAAATAATTAATGGATGTAAGATTTATATAATAGCAATTACCAGGCAGTGGAGAATACTGACTGTCAAAGGGCTGAGTCTCAATATCGCCACAATCAAGAATCGAATTCCTCGTAGTATATTGAATCTCATTATCATTCTCTCTAAGCGAACCCATTGTTAACTCATCTGCATTCAAAATTCAAATTCAAACACAAAACCCTAACAAATAAGCGGTCATTAACCCATCACAATTTGACTCAGGAACAGAAGGTGGAGAACACTGACTGTCAAAAGGCTGCGTCTCAATATCACCACGATCAAGAATTGAATTCCTCTTAGTATGTTGAATCTCATCATCGTTATCTCCAAGCGCACCCATTGTTAACTCATCTGCGATCAAAATTCAAATTCAAACTCAAAACCCTAACGAATAAGCGACCTTTAACCCATCACAATATAAGGTGGAGAACACTGACTGTCAAAGGGCTGAGTCTCAATATCGCTATGATCACGAATTGAATTCCTCTTAGTATGTTGAATCTCATCATGGTTATCTCCAAGCACACCCATTGTTAACTCATCTGCGATCAAAATTAAAATTCAAACACAAAACCCTAACAAATAAAACACAAAACAATAACAAATAAACTATCTTTAAACCATCACAATTTAACTCAGGTACATAAAGAGGAGAACACTGACTGTCAAAGGGCTGAGTCTCAGTATTGCGAATTAAATTCCTCTTAATATGTGGAACATCATCATCATCATGATCTCCAAGCGAACCCATTGTTAACTCATCTGCAATCAAAATCCAAATTTAAATTTAAACACAAAACCCTAACAAATAAGCCCATCTTGAACCCATCACAAATTGACTCAGGCACATAAAGTGAACAACACTGACTGTCAAATGGCTGAGTCTCAGTATCGAGAATTGAATTCCTCTTAGTATGTTGAATCTCATCATCGTGATCTCCAAGCGAACACATTTTTGACTCATCTGCGATCAAAATTCAAATTCAAACCCTAGCAAAGAAACGATATTTAACACATCACAATTTGATTCATCGCGACCTGAAGCAAGAAATCGTATCGTCAAGACAATACACAGAGAGAGAACTAACAAATTTATTGAAAAATAAATAAATAAATTAGGAGATGAGGCAAACACAAAGAGTCTTACATAGGGAAAAACCGCATCAGGTAAAGAGGGTTTTGGCAGTGAGGAAATTGAATTGAAGAGAGAGAGAGACAGAGACAGAGACAGAGACAGAGACAGAGAGAGAGGTGGTTAGGGTTTGAGAAGTGGAGGGAAAATTGGGAGAGGTGCGAAATTAAGGTCGTAATTTGGAGGGAAAATTGATCCCAAAAAATTTAGGGAAATTTTACGACAAAAGTGCACAAAGTGTCCTATTAACAAATAATTAGCATATATATATTTTTTTTTTATAACAAATACTCATCTGAAATGATATAATAGTAATGTTTTTAAATTTATCTACAAAAATATAAGCAAAAATTTATTGAAGAACATATAAGTGAAAAAAATTATTGTGCCATGTTTGTGGTAAGAATTTATTGGGAGAAATATGGAATCCTATGTAGGTTTGAGCAAAAGCATAAAAATTGGGTCTAAAAATAGCATATTTTTTATCTTTTTTTAGTCCTATTATTTTTTACTTTTCCATACATATTTTTATATAAATTATAAATGTATATTTATTTAAATTATCCAAAACAATTCAGCTTGCTTGATTAGGTTTTTCAAAAAATACTTTTCAGAAAATTCTACTTTTTTATTTTTCATATTTTTTTGTTTTTACTGAATTTTTTTAATATTTTGAGCAATTTTTTTTATTTTTAGACATACCTAACGTAAATATACCTAAAAAGTAAAAAAAAATTGAAAAAAACCTTTTAAAAATTCACTAAATACCAAAAATATATAAAAAAAAATAATACAAGAATTCAGTACATTTTTTATATTTTTATGTATTTATTAATTTTTAAAAATATTTTTTCACAAATTTTTTACTTTTAGATACATCTAAATAAGGTGCATTTAAAAAAGTAAAAAAATGTTTAAAATTTTAAAAATATTTACTAAAAACAAAAAAAACACGAAAATCAAAAACTTAATTTTTAAAAAACTTAATTCAAAAAATTTAAACCAAACACACTAATTGATATTTACACTATACTAGTCTTGTTTAGTAATCTAACCACTTTTTTTTTAAAAGTTGAAACAAAACTGTTTTCTAGGTGTATGGTTTTAATATCATTTTATTTCCATTTTAATTAGAATTCAAATCAATAATTTAGGCCAAGTTTGGGAAGACTAAATAAGTGTATTTTTTGTCTTTTTGGACTAAAAAATTGAGGTTGAAAATATGGATGTTTGGGTTAATTTTAAAAATGTTTAAAATTTTAAAAATATTTACTAAAAACAAAAAAAACACGAAAATCAAAAACTTAATTTTTAAAAAACTTAATTCAAAAAATTTAAACCAAACACAGTAATTGATATTTACACTATACTAGTCTTGTTTAGTAATCTAACCACTTTTTTTTTTAAAGTTGAAACAAAACTGTTTTCTAGGTGTATGGTTTTAATATCATTTTATTTCCATTTTAATTAGAATTCAAATCAATAAGTGCAGTGATAATAAGAAAATTTTAAAATGGAAAGAAAAAAAACACAATAAGATTATTGCAAGACAATTGTGATAGAAATTTTAAAAATAAGTAATGATTTGTATATCATTGCTCTTATTTTTTTTGCGAGTACAACTCCCAATTTGTATTATAGTCTAGCTCTATCTATTTATTTATTTTTAGGAATTAAATCTTATTTTTGACATCCGATGAATTTTTCATATTGTTTCTTCTTTTGAGATAAATGAGTTTAATTGTAATTTTCTACTATGAGTTATTTAAGTGAGGAACTTCCATGTGGTTAAAAGTTGGATTTGCATTTTGAAATGTATAATTGTTAGCTATATATTTTGTATAAGCCAGTTACACTTCAACACATGGCAGGATAAGGGCAATATGGGAAGATAATTCAAATCTTCAATCGTAATCACACACGTGGCAGTTAGTATTGGTTATTGTGGATCTGCATAAATACTAGATCAGCAAAGAGATGCAAAATGACGTGGCTTCAATGGTTTTTCATATTTAAATTCAAAATCAAGAAGGAAGCCTAACTGCAGATATGGCATAGTGGAGCTAACTATAAGGTAACATGATCAGCGACTGTGAAAACGTGGTTCGACGATTAGAAATGCAGTTCGACGGTTGTCATTGAGAAGTATAAATAGCAGAGCAGGTCTCAGAAAGTTGCCCCAGACTCAGATCCAAAAAACCAGTTTTATCTACTTTATTTTCTTTCCAGTTTTTATATTTTCTTGTTCTTTACATTTCTATACTTTAAATTCCTGTACTGCACTTTGTTCACAGGAGTAGTTTCAAGTAGTTTGTTCCTGTAACCATCTACGAGGCTGATTTGGATCTTTGTAAGTCTTTCATTTTACTTAATGAAATGTTACAATTGTTCTTCATTTAATCATTGTTTGCTTAATTCTCCTAATCAAAGTCACCAGTAAAAGTCTTCTTCATTGAGGCTGAAAGAAGTAAAACACAATCGTCTGATAATTGGTTGGCAATTAATATTCTGTAAGGATTGATTGATCATTGCTGGCACACTCACAATTACAATAATAACCTTCGAAAGCCAAAAAAGCCAACATATATTTTTGGCATGCCTAGTGGGACTAATTGAAATGGCTAAATATAGGAGACAAAGAGAAAATGAACGCTTGGAAAAAGGCGTGGAAGGAGAGGTAGAAATACCTAATCCAGAGGATAATATGATAACACATGCTGTGGAAGCACCTATTTTATCAAAACCTATAGTCGAACAGACCAGCACTTTGGAACAAGTACCACATGTTCAGAACATTAGACGAGGCCAAGGAATTGGACCATCCACTGTTCCATCTATTTAGCCAATGAATCCATGGGGTGGCCTAGTAGATGCCATGGGACAGCAGTTAATGAACACAATGGAATGTGGGCAACATCCTTTTTGGATCGAATGAATACTCATCAACCAACTAACGCAAGGCATATCGAAGAAAATTCAAATGTCCCTCAGCAAAGATTGGCTAGAGATAAACAGCCTATACAGAGTAATGGACATACTAACGGTCAAACTAGTAACCAAAACTATGAAAGATTATCACTTCAGTCTTGGTATAAGCCTCTTTCGAGGCCTATGGCAAATCAAAATGCCTCCTTACTTAATAGTGAAGCCATGCAAATTGGTGGATTTGGTCCAACACAAGAAAATGACATAAGGATGCTTCCAAATCCCATGTTCGAAGCCATACCTAGCACGAGGGGTTTCACTAATCCTTTGTTCGAATTTGTACCTGGGGGGGTTGGAAGGGTTTCCTGCAACTGGAAGAGACACAACACCTATTCCAGCACCTTTTGTAGGACAGGCTCAAAGGGGTCACCCATACCCTCAACAGCAGCCAGCGCCACAAGGACAACCAGTCCCAAACATACCATCCGATGGACCAAGAGGACCCCAAGCACAAGGTTGTCCACCAAATCTGTGTTTGTTCCTCCAGTAGTGGTTCAACAGGTACAAAATATGGTCCCTAGGGACCAAATTGCTGATATTGTTAGAGAGATGTGTGGACCAATGGCCCGGGGGGTTCAAACTCCTGTGTACAAGAAACCATACCCAGAATGGTAGATAGGGTACATGAATACCCAAGAGGCTTCAAGATACCAGACTTTGCCCTTTTCTATGGGAATGGAAACCAGTCAACGGTTGCGCATATTGCTAGGTTAACTGTTTAGTGTGGTGAATTTACCAATAATGACTATATGAAGTTAAGATTGTTCCCAAATTCTCTAACTGGGACAGTCTTTGTATGGTATATTAACCTTACACCTGGCTCTATCCAAACTTGGCAACAAATGGAGGAGGCATTTCATGCCCAATTCTTCCAAACGAAGCCAAAAGTTTCTATGACAGACTTGGCAAGGTTGAGTCAAAGACCTGATGAAAAGGCTGCTCAATTTATTGTCAGGTTCAAAAGAGCACGAAACAAATGTAGGATTGTTCTACCAGAGCTTGAGTTCGTGAAATTGGCTCAAAATGGTCTAGAGTTTAAGCTTCGAAAGAAATTTGATTCAACTGAGTTTAGAGACTTAGTAGAACTGACCTATAAGGTATCTAGGTATGAAGCATTACTAGAGGAAGGACAAAATCGAAGTAATGCATCATACAAGACGTATTATAGAGATCCTAATTATGAGATTGATGCAGCAGAGATTGTAGGGAAAGAACTTGTGATCTGTGAAGCATTAATTCATAAAGACACAACAATAAACCAGCAGTTTAAAAAGAAAGACCTTCATACGAAATACTCTTTTGATTTAACAAAGGCAGATGACATTTTTGATCATTTGCTTGCTGCGAATTTCCTGAAGTTACCAAAATGAGTCAAAATTCCGTCTCTAGAAGAACTTAAAGGAAAAGTTTATTGTAAATGGCATAATTCTTGGTCTCACTCAACTAAAAACTGCATTGTTTTTCGAGACAAGATCCAAGGGCAGATTCGAAAGGGAAGTTTGAAATTCCCAGTTAAAGCAAAAAAAGCCATGGGGATTAACACTAATCCATTTCCAGAAATTAGAGAAGTGGTAGCCAATGTTATTGTGCCAGATTTCCAGAACTTGTCCTTGAAAGAATTGGAAGAGGTCAATGTGCAAATGCATGTTGCTAGCCAAACTGCTGTCAAAACAGATGCTAGAAGTTTACCAGCTATTGGGCAAGGCTTTGCAGGTCAGAAGGAAGACTCTGATGAAGAGGCACTAGATGATGATTCTTTAGAGGCGATTGTCATAAAAAGAATGTGTCACAGGTGTAGGTTAAGCTACAAGTGGTTAAAAGGGCTTCCAATTGATGGGAAACAATATTACAAGGATGTGCAAAGTCGTCCTAAACCAACCAGTGCCTATAATAAGAGGTCATATCCAACTGGTACTAGGACGCAGCTATTCATGACTGAGCCAGCAACCACTAGAATGCACTCCAAAGGCAAAAGACTTCTACATGAATTCAGACCACCCAACTATTATAGAATGAAGGGCAATCATCTTAAGAGAAGACTTGAAGTGGGTTCAAGTTATGGGATCAAAGCCAGGGATTGGCCTCCTAGACCAGCCTCACATAGGATGGAAAGTGACCATCTTCATGGAAGGCCTGAATTGGGCCCAAAATAGGGAGTCAGGGCTAAGCAGTGGCTTTCACAGCTAGTTCCGAAGATGGCTTCGAAGGAAGAAAGAGACAGTTCAACAACTGGGCTAGTAGGTTCATAGGT